CCGCCGCCGCCGCCCCCTGCGGAGGGCGAGCCCAGGATGTCATCCTCCAGGAAGTCTAGGTCCACGCTGGGGGCTGGCTGGCTAGGCTCCGGGTTCAAGTGGTTGCCAGAAGCTTCTTGCACGTGGAGCTGGAGGCCAGATAAGATGGGAAGGAAAGGCCTGAGATGAGCAAAGGGCCGGCGCAGGGCACGGCTGCAACAGACACGAGGTGCCAGGGGGGCACAGAGAGAACATTCCTTCTGGAGGTGGCTGGACGCGGGTGGGCTCCCAGCTCCCCAGGGCTTAGCAGGGAGCCTGCTTAACGTGGCCTCTATCCCCACTGCACACATCAGTAGAACAAAAACCATTTACTGAACAGCCCTACGAGGCCCTTGATTCTCACCTGCACCTCCCAAACCCCAGAGGCTCTGAAAAACATGGATGCTTTTATAACGTGGTGGAAGCAAAACCTGACCAGCACCCATGGGCGCTCTTGGGGAAAGGCATCATTTACCCACGTGACGGGACCCTTCTGAAGCCTGGCCACGGAAAGGTGAACGAGTGGCCTGTTGCTATGAGCAGCACACACTGACCTGCATCACCTTTCCAGAATCTGAAAAATACCTGCCCCGAAGGTTTCAGACAAAAGATCATGGTTCACCCTGGCTGGTTGCTCAATGGTTAGAGCGCCGGCTCAAGCACCGAAGGGTCGCAGGTTCGATTCCCAGTTCGCTCCCCACCTCTGGTCGGGGCACGCCTGGGAGGCAATCAGTTGATGTCTCCCTCACTCTCTCACACATCAATGTTTCTCTTTCTCTCCCTCTCTCTCTCCGCTTTTCTCCCTCCCTTCCACTCTCTCTAAAAAGCAATGGAGCCCAGCTGGAGTGGCTCAGTGGTTGAGAGTCAACCTATGAACCAGGAGATCACGGTTTGATTCTCGGTTGGGGCAAACGCCTGGGTTGCGGGCTCGATCCCCAGTGTGGGGCATGCAGGAGGCAGCCGATCAATGATTCTCTCTCATCATTGATGTTTCTATCTCTCTCTCTCCCTCTCCCTTCCTCTCTGGAATAAAGTTCGATCTCCAGTCGGGGCGCATATAGGAGGTAACCGATTGATGTTTTTCTCTAACATTGATGTTTTTCTCTCTAAAATTCAATTAACATGCCCTCGGGTGAGGATTAAAAAACAAAAATAATAACCACCATAAACATAACAGCAGCAGCTGCTACTGCACACAAACCTTAGTTTGTGCCACATGCGCTGAGTCCCACATTTCTTCTTAATGATTTCAGAGAAAAGAAGGGAGAGGGGGAGAGAGAGCAACATAATGGTGAGCATCACTGATCGGTTGCCTTCTGCACACCGATGGGCTGCAAGGTCACGTTGCCCAGGCCCACGGGCTGCAGGAAGGGCTGGACGCTCAGGGCTTTGTTGACCACATCCTGGGGCGGCACCAGGGCCTGGTGGGTCAGCACGGTGGGCGGGGCCTGTAGTCCCAGTAGGTCTGTGCCCCCCGGGAAGGGGGCCTGGGGCC